AAAAGGAAACATGAATCTACGAAGATGCCTCTGCCATCTAATTAACCGCTTAGAAAGTTTCCCTGAACACTTCTTATACCTGCGTCCTAGAGAGCCACGGACCCCCACGAAAGTGCTAGTTACCGTGGTAAAAATGTAGTCAATCGTTACCGTTGAAAAAAATGTAGTCAGTCCACTTGGGAATTCTCAGTTGTCTCCAAATTTGAGGAAATAGTGAACATCCTAAGTTATCATACATCTCAGGCCCGGACCCAGTGAAGTCATTTAGGGAAGGATCTAGCTAAACTACAAATTTCAAACACAGGATTCCGTGTAACCTCGTCTCCAGGGCTTTTCCCTTGAAGCACCTTCAAAGGTAAAGCCCTAGGGACGAGGTTGGTTTCGTGACGTTGGATATCATTTTTAAAGTTACATTCAAATCGTTCATACTGCACATTTTCTTGATTTTCATACAGTAACTGTTGTATCAAAATATTGGACCATTACTGTGAAACTCAGAAAACCGTGAAAGCAAGGAAATTAAGCGTGCGAAAACTAAACCGCAAACACTAGCGATAATAGGACACGTTCGATATATCAATATTCTAACATGGCACCAAGGCTTTCAGGGCAAACTTCTATGTTTGGTGGTGTTTTCTTTGTATCCAAGTCTCTTTTAATATTGAAAGACAAAGGAGACTTAAAAAATTTGCAATTTTGACCCGGAAGTCTTGGATCGATGTTGGAATATTGATATATATCGAACTTGGCCTATTGGTTGTGGTTTTGAGATTTTCTCACGTGTCCTGAACTTTATAGTGATTGGTTCAGTACCAAATTAACCTTTCGGAATCAAATCCAAATGTTCACGGTTTTCTGAGTTTCACAGTAATAAAAAAAGCGATTGCATAAATTTTAAATCCACTGTCCAAATTCCTGAGTCCTCACATTTCCAAATTTTATAGCGAGGCGACCATTTTCGGTACGGGATCATTTACGGTGCAATCTGGGGATCATTTCCGGTCCCGGGATCATTTGCTGTACAATTTGGGGATCATTTGCGGAACGGGGATCATCTGTGGGCCTGTACAGTTCTCTTACGAACACGACGTCGACCCGATACGATCCGTGAAAAACAGATGCCTTTCTTTAGTTGAAACTATCTTTAAAAATTAACCCTTTAAAAATGCTAATAACACTTAAGGTTCTTAAGCGATTTTCAATTAATTAAGAAATAGAAAACATGTACCATGTTTCTGCTGAGTTATAGAAACAAGAGTCGAAGTTTGGGAGAACCAGAAATGCTGTGAGAACGCGAGTCGACAGGCGATTTTCCAGTTCTCCCAAACTTCTACGAGTGTTTCTACTGATCTTTCTATTTAATTAGATTATGAGATCGAAATTTCTATCACGCATAGAAATCGAGAGGGAACAATCTAATTGTTTTAGTATGAATCTACTAGTCGTTCACACAGTTTACCTAAATCCTCCTCAGAGACACTTCAAAAACGCACAAAGTGGCCGTCATTTTGTTAACAAGGGCACACTGCTAGGCTACTCATTACTGACTAGTCGTTCAAAACATCGATCTAAATCTTCTTCACAGACATTTCAAAAACGCAAAAAAGGGGCCGGCAGTTCTTTATCAAGCGCCCACTGCTACGCTACCCACTATCTACAACAGAATAGATAGTGGGTACCGTAGCCAATCAGAGAACAGCATTCGTGATAGAACGCTAGTAGATTTATACTAAAACAACTAGATTATTCGCTCTCGATTTCTATGCGTGATAGTTGACTCGGGCTGCGCCCTCGTCAACTATTGTGCGATAGAAATCTGGAGCTCATAATCTAATTGTTAAATATAAATAGAAACACGATTTTAAACCAATCAGCGAACGTATTTTCTCTGGGATATTTTCTAAACAGTTATATTGTGGGTGTCTTTAACGATCGTTGTGTTTAAACCACATGATACAGAACTGTTATAACAAGAGACGTAAATCATATTTTGTGCTTACCAGTTTGGCACTGTATGCCTGTGTAGCCAGCTTGACAGCTACAAACATATCCGTTAACCTGGTCTGTACACGATCCTCCGTTTAAACAAGGATTACTGGCGCATTCGTTGGTATCTGTGTGAAAATGTTTTTGTGCACAGTTAAGAACATAAAGAACTTCAGTCTAAAGACTTGCCAGTTAAACCAATACAAATCAATAGATTAATTTTCTCAAGGGAACAATATAAATACGTCTCATCAGGAGACTGAGAATACATGTGAGAATAGGCGTGAACAATCTAGGTTGACTTTTCTGGATACCTTCAATTGTGCTTCAACTGGAATGAAGGAAAAGTTCAAATGAGGTGATTTTTTTTACAACCAGTTGTACAAACTTGGATGTTTTCGAGGAGAAATAGGTATATATGCATTTTTTTTTTAAAAAAAGAAACGGCAATTTGTCCTAATTCTTTTTTTCGGAAACTAAGGCCGTCAAAACTTACGACCCATCTGTTCTCCTGACAAAAACTTAAGACAAATTTGCTTTTCTTCGAAAAAAGTCTTGTCGTAAAATTCAAGTTTGCTGGCTATTTTACCATTTTAATTTAATTTGAAGTAAATTTTATTGTTTTTTAGTTCTTTTTATTGTAAGGCCATATTCGTCCCATGGTGCAATGAGGACGGATGACGAAATTTTATTGTACTCTAGAACAAGATTTTACAAATGTATTTTTTAAATTTACAATTATTGGCAGCCTCGCCCTCGACTCGACCATTTTTTGACATCATCTGACACGATAACAATAAATAAACGAATAAATAAATAAATAAATAAATAAACAATAAATAAATAGGAATTTGCGGTGGCATATCCCTCAGAGAGGCTCTTCGTCCAATGTTTCCAGATCTGAATTGGAATTTAGAAGTACTGTGTTGGTTTTTGTCAGTGGAGGGAGGAAAACCGGAGAACCCCGAAAAAACCCTTAGAGCAAGGATAAGAACCAACAACAAACTCAACCCACATATGGTACCGGGTCCACTGCGGATTCGAATTAACCCGGGTTACATTGTTGGAAGGCGAGCGCTCTCACCTCTGCGCCATCCCTGCTTCCCAACAATCTACAATCATGGAAGAGTCTACGGCAAAGCAACATGTTTCACTCACTAGTTTGGCAGTTATCTCCTTCATATCCTGCCACACAGCCACAAACATATCCATTAACCTGGTCTGTACACGCTCCTCCGTTTAAACAAGGATTACTGGCGCATTCGTTGATATCTACGTTAAGATCTTCGCTTCGCCTCGCATCTATTTACTTCGAGTTTTTATTGGTTCACTTGATTGTCTGTGTCCTTTGTGATTGGCCAGAGTGATATGATTACTTTAATTTAAGTTTTACGACACTCAGTTGAAAAACCGCTGCATTCGTCATCGCTCGGTTTTGGAATTTAGTTTGTTATAATTATTGAGTCCATTAACAGTTAATAATTTAGATTCCTGTTTTGCACATGCCTCAGTTATCCTTTTTGAAGCGACTCTCAGGTCGGAAATTGTGTGCATATCAAACAAAAGAAAATTAAACTGACCCATTCCGCAGTACTTTCCGGTAAAACCTGCTTTGCAAACACACTGATAGTCATCTCGATTGTAAATCGGTCGACAGAAAGAAGTTCCATGTTGACATGGGTTGTTCATGCAAGGTGTCTGTGGAAAAATACAGCGAAACTTTCTCAGAATTGTTAAAATGTCTGTTACTAAAATCATAATTCGTAGAAAGTGAGAAAGATCACTCTCGCTGGAGTTTATTTCTGAATAATAAGCTGTGCCAACCGAGGCAATAGGGCATGTTAATAATAAATTGCAATATGTCTAGGGAAAAAACGTCTTTATTGAATAGAAAATGTTTTTCTGTAATCTGTATAACAGATATTCTATGAGGGACTGCGGTTATCCTTAAATTATGAAATAATATTATCGTTTGCAAGATTTTTACTTATGATTTATTTGGTGCGAAGATAACGACATTTCGGCAGGCACATTCACAACGCAAATTTGCTGGCCTGAAAGAGTGAGTTCTGGTTCGAAAACAACCTGTCAAGTCTTCCAAATGGGTGTTGCAAAGTCGATCATATCTTTGATTAATAAAGTTGTCGATGAGTAACGTTTCTTTCCAAACTATCACTTTTCTACAACTGATCCAGAACTGAACGAGTAAGAACATTACACAAAACTAAAAGAAGCTGGAATTGTGGAAGAACAAAAACGTTTGACTCTTACCTTAATATTATAGTGATCAAAGCCAGCATGGTAAAGTAAATCATCCGAGTTGAGAAACTTGTCCGTATTCAGCAGCTCACAAGAATGTCTTCCGTCAAGTGAAGTTGCAGCGAAATTAAATGAGAAGCAATCTTGATTATGAATGCATTGATAAGCACATTCTATGGGACTCAAGACCATGAAGCTCACCAGAACAGCGCCATTTAACCGGTGCGAGGGATTATTAACAAAATGAGCGAAATTTACTGTATTGTATTTGCCATCTCGTCGGAAACTTTGTGTGCCGGTTGAGGTGTAAAAACATGTTCCAAAAATTAAAGGAATCACTAAGGACAGCGGTAATTTCTTGTGTTTCATCTGCCAAAGAAAAAGTACAGATTATGATTGAGGCTAATCTTGAAGTAAGGTTGTATTAAAACTTAAGCTTGTTCGTGACACTTAAGTTACAAGCACTGTCGCGAAAACCTAAAACATCGATGCTCTGGTTCCGAAAATATTATAATTAAGATAAAGAAACGAAAGTCTAGATCGCAGCAGTTTCAATAATCATAACGAGATCGATTCTTTCTCTTTGAGCGGCACAAACACGAGCGAGGTAAAAGACACAATGCCCCTAATCCCAAAAGAATATCAGCTGCCGGCTACCCTATGACAACA